CTCTAGGGAAGAGGAGATTCATATGTTGCGAACCCATCTTGACGAGTAGGAGAGACAACTGGCAAATCTTACAGAGCATGTCATGCAGATGTCTAGTCCACTAGCTTCTAGAGATCCACGTGCTTCGTCTCATTCACCGGCTCCATCAGTTATAGTTCCAACGCACGACTCAGCTGCAACGCATCCAGACACGAGTCGGGACCCTAGCGACCCTCCTTCCATCGACCCTCCTGCCGACACTGTTTTCCCTGATACAGACACATTGGCCACTCAACGCCATAGATTTGATTGTGGACCGTTTTATACTTATTCTATTATATATATGATTGTTTATGACTTTTTTTATGTTACTGAGCCGTATACCATTATTCGACAAATTATGGCTGTATGTGTGTGATTTCATATGTAAATATATATATAACAGGTGCTTCACATTTAGTTTTTTGCTATTTCAAAATTTTTTTTTTTTTTGGCCTCTCAGACAATTTTGTGACCAATTTGAAAATATTATTAATATGTCAGCGACTACATAGCAACCGATCAGCTACAACTCTCAGCCGCTGATTTACGATCGAAACATATTTACGACCGATTAGTGACCACATGTCACTAGACCGTTGGAAGACCCAACAACAACCGCATATTGAGAAATATCGATCGATCATAACGGTTGGTAACTTGCGACCTCCACCATCCATTGGTCGCAAAAATATTAGTGACCAGCTATCTTGCGATCGATTTATAGTTCTTGCAAAACGGTCTCAAATGTTGTTTAGCGACCCATTATGATAATATTAGCGATCGTTTTTTTGGTCGCTAATTGCCGATTTTTTTGTACTGATTTTGTTATTTGTTTATCTTCTATTAAAGACTTTTTGTAGTTTCAATGGATTGCTCATTTATTAATGCTATACTGTTTTACTGCACAAAAATTGGAATAAGATGATAAAAACTATGCTATGTTTACTTTTTCAAGTTTTGATTTGATTCGGATGATAATTCAGATTTTATGGTATGAGAATCCTAATATATGAATTTTTGAAGTTTTTATTTAATTTTGATAATCACATAGAATAAAATTGGTTTTAATTTTGTTATCAAGTTTTCCATTTTTTTTTTTTTTTTTGTCATATGCATAAAGCTACAGCTTATTTGAAAAATATGTGACACCCAAAATTGGAGAATATTAGAGTTATTGAAATGAATTTGGATCTAATTAGCAAAATACTCAAGTATTTTTTTGCATTTCTATTGTTATCATATTCTATTAATTCTTGAATTTTCATTCCAATTATGTTTTATTTATTTCATCCATTTGCATCTACTCAACAATTAGATTTATAGGTGGAAAGAATTGTTGGTAATAAAATTGGTAGAAATAGTTCTGATAATGTTATCTCTTTCAACTTTCCACTAAATTGTATGCAAGAACGATTGAACAATTTTTATGTAGTGTTGGAGAACTTTTTTTTGTTTGGATGAGTGGTAATATTTTTTTTTATTTGTTTATGTTCTTTTGAAGACTTTTTGCTGTTTCAATGGATTACTCATTATTAATGGTACACTGTTTTACTGCACAAAAATTGGAATAAGGCGATAAAAATGTGAAGTCTACTTAATTATATTTAATTGTTGTGTTATGTTTACTTTTTGAAGTTTTGATTTGATTTAGATGATAATGCAGATTTCATGGTATGAGAATGATGCTAATTTACTGTCAGTTTTATTACTGCTTATTTAAAGGTTTGTTATCAATTCCTAATATATGAATTTTTGGAGTTTTTATTTAATTTTGATAATCACTATTCATCCCATTGCAGTCTTACGTCACAATTTAGATTTATAGGTGGAAAGAAAATGTGGTAATAAAAATTGGTTAGAAATAGATTCTGATTACATGTCATATCTCTTTCAACTTCCACTAAATTTGTATGCAAGAAAACAATTGAACAATTTATTATGTAGTGTTGGAGAACTTTCTTTTTGTCTTGATGAGTGGTAATATTTTTTTTTATTTTGTTTATGTTTCTTCTTGGAAGAACTTTTTGCCTGTTTCAAAGGGTACTCATTATTAATGTACACTTGGTTTTTTACTGCACAAAATCTGGAAATTAAGCTCCCCGATAAAAATGTGAAAGGGCTACTTAATTATATTTAATTGTCCATTGTTTATGTTACTTCTTTGGAAGTTTTGATTTGAAATTATAGATGATAATGCACATTTTTCAATGGTATGAAGACATGATTGCTAATTATCACTTGTCAAGGTTTTTTATTACTTGCTTATTTAAAGGGTTTGTTATCAATTCCAATATATGAATTTCTGAGAAGTTCTTTATTTTAATTTTGATTAATCACATTTTTATAGGAATAAGAATATTTGATGCTTATTTTATGATATTCAAGTTCGCTACTTTTTTTTTTTTTTTTTATCAGAGACTAAAAAGCTAACCCTACTTAATTGAAGGTTTCTCAGGTATTGATTTTTTTTCCAACAATTATCGTTTCCATCTACTATTTATTTTTACATGAATTTCATTTGTTTTGTCTTTTTTTTTTTTTTTTTTTTTTATTTTGTCTTTTTTTTTTTTTTTTTTTTTTTTGTCTATTGCTGCATTTTCATACAATCTTTTTTTCCTATTATAATGACTTGATCTATAAAGGGAAATGAGTTGCTCTCCAACTTAACAAAATATAAATGTGTGTCTTTTATTTTAAAGGTATTGTTTTATTAATTTGAAAATGAGACTTTGCTCCAAGGCAATTATCAAATTTTAGTATAATTACGTTTTACTGTCTGATTGTCGGTGAAGTCAATGACTTTATCCAAAATATATACAGAATATCCTTTTAAAGAGGCTATGATAATATTCTATCATAAATTATTTATCTTGGCGAGGTAATTCTTGAAAATTATAGCATGATGGAATTTTTATCTCATTTGTTCATATCTTTAATTGCAGTCGTGATTTAATCATTTATTAACAATTTTTGTTCTGAGCCTCCTATTGTTTTGTGTTTTCTTTTTATTTCTTCCATTGATTGCGATTTTTTTCTTTATTTTTTACTCTTCTTTTTCTCACTTTCCTAAAATTTCTCATCCTCTTCTGTGATATTTGGGTAAAGGTAAGCTTCTCTCTTCTTCAATTTCTATTTTATTGATTTGAAATTAGGGATTTTTTTTTTTTTTTTTTTTTTGATTTTGAAATTAGGGATTTTTTTTTTTTTTTTTGAAATTTAGGTTCTTTCTCCATGTTAACGTCAAGGAATTTTTGGCTATTTTATTTGAAAGCCACCATGCAAAACAACGAGAGCGAAGAGGAAGCTTATCAAAAATAAATATGAACATAATTGTTTTTACCTAGTTTGTATAATTTTAGTTACTCATAATTTATTGTCATATGAATCACAGTATAAATGCTTTGTAAAATCAAAGGGATTTTTTTTTTTTTTTTTTTGAAATTTAGGTTCTTTTCCATGTAATGTCAGGAATGAGCTTTTTATTTTGAGCACATGCAAACAAGAGGAGGAAGAGAAGCTTACAAAAATAAATATGAACATAATTTGTTTTTACCTATTTGTATAATTAGTTACTTCATAATTTATTGTCATATGAATACATAAATGCTTTGTAAAATGTCATAAGCTTAATATAAATACATACTACATAAATTGTTCTAAATTTAATGCAATTATGTAGAATTATTTATGATATAAATCAATTCACTGTAAAAAAAAATCACCTACAACATCGCGTGGGCCTAAAAAACTAGTTCATTACTGATTTACATGGTATTGGAAAATAATTATAGTCTTACACATGAATCTAATTTGATTCATTTTCAGAGAACTAAATAGAATTGAAATTCTATATATGAGCCTTTCTGAAGCGTGCCTAAAAGATTCAAGTGGCTCTTGATTTGGTTTGGATCGAAATTGACCTAATAATTTCAGTTGTGATCAAACTAGAACTAAGATATATGGCTTCAAATTTTGGTCAAGTTTAAAAAAATTTTACATTGAAAAAGAAAGTAGAAAAAGATTGAATCGGATTAAAATCAATGATTTTATGTCAGGCTTAAAATTAGCCAAGAACCAATTGAACCCAAATCCGAAATTTTAAGATTGATTTCAATCCCAACTTAATATTTTTCAATTTATTACATCAAAATGAATTGACTCAGTAAACCGGCCGGATTCATTCAATTCAATTCTTCCAATTCAAGAGATAGTTAGCAGCAAAGCTGATAAGTCGCCATGGCTACACTTGGAGTCCAACTCATTACATTGATAGGTGGGTTGCACTGGATGCATTGGTCCCACACATCAGACATATTCTCAACGGTTCAGATATTCTCTCTCTATTAGGATCCAAGGTGTCTAAATTGGCTAACTCCAACACATCAACGGTCTTTTTTTCATTTTTTGCTTTAACTTTTGCGGTTACTTTGTCCCACTTTGCAGAGTCGTAGGTCCACCACACCTCCTTAAAGACCGCACACAAATGAAAAATGCCGGCACATACGCCGATGATTTCTATTCTAACGTCCGTTACGATTACAATTCTCTCTTTAAAGTAGGAAAGATTCGTTCCTGTCTAAACCCAAATCGATCTAGTCGAAATCAATGTTTTCCGCACTGCACTTAGCTCAATTTGGATTTCGACATTTTCAGAATAAAAATGAACAATTTTAGTTTGAAATCGTAAAGGAAAAATTGTGAAATCCAAATCAATGATTCCAAAATTGCTTTAGAAATTGCCTAAAACCAATTCAAATGTCACATTTTTTTAAAAAATTGGAGTCAGTCGACTTGATTCGAACCAATACAGGACGGTCGTCGTCCCTACTTTAACGGAAAAATATGGACAGATTGTAAAATGGACTGTTATGGGTTCCACACCCAGAGTGATAGGAAGATCATTAGTCCAACCTGGCTTGTTCGAGCTTGACAGCTTGCTCCTTCATCTTTGAATTTTATACAATACAAACCCCACGCCCCACCTTAAGCCTAACCACTCTTACCTCCCACTCTTTATATAACTTCCCTCTCAACGCCATCTCAGCCATCACCAGCCCAACTCCTCTCTCTCTCTCTCTCTCTCTCTCTCTCTCATATTCTTCACCAAACAAGAATGGCGGAGGAGGTTCAAAAGGCAGCAGGCCAAGAACAGGTGGCGCGAGTAGAAGAAGAAGTGGTGGTGGTAGCCGATGCTCCTCAAGCTGAGAAAATGACACCAGCGCCAGCACCAGCACCGCCCTCAATGCCGGTGGTTGTTGAGAAAGAGGCACCACCAGTGCCGGAGACTGAGGAGGAACCATTAAAGCCTAAACAAGTTGAGGAGGCTGTAGAAACTAATGTGTCCAAAGCCAGTGGTGATAATGATGAGAAAATTCCGGAGTCAGTTTCTTTTAAAGAAGAGAGTAATAAAATTGCTGATCTTTTGGAGTCTGAAAAGAAAGCTCTTGAAGAGTTCAGGCAATTAGTTCATGAAGCTCTTAATAAACACGAATTTAGTGCTGAAAAACAACCATCACCACTCCCAGCAGCAGCATCGACCAAAGAAGAAAAGGAAAATAAAGCTATGCCGGCGGTAGAGGAGGAAAAACCAGCCCAAGAGGAAACTGCGGGACAAGAAGAACAAGTGAAGCCAGAACCTCAAGTTGTTGTAGCAGAAAAAACGAAAGATGAAGTAGTAAATGAAGAAAAGATTGAAATGGTGGACAGTGACGTTGCAGAAGAAGAAAAGGTTGACGATGACGGTGCAAAGACTGTGGAAGCCATAGAAGAGACTATAGTGGCAGTGTCTTCTTCTACGGCTCCACAGGAGCAGACTTTGCCTGCAGAGAAAGAGCCAGAAGCAAAGTCTGCTACATCCGTGGACGAGGAAGCCAATAAAAACGTTATATCTGCTGTACCACCAGAAGAGATTTCCATCTGGGGCATTCCGCTTCTGGCAGATGAAAGAAGCGATGTGATTCTTTTGAAATTTTTGCGGGCGAGAGATTTCAAGGTGAAAGATGCATTTACAATGCTTAAGAACACAATTAGATGGAGAAAGGAGTTCGGCATTGAGGAATTACTTGAACAAGACTTGGGTAATGAATTAGAGAAAGTGGTCTTCATGCATGGTCTTGACAAGGAAGGACACCCAGTTTGTTACAATGTGTATGGAGAGTTTCAAGACAAGGAGCTTTACCAAAAGACTTTTGTTGATGAGGAAAAAAGAAACAGATTCTTGAGGTGGAGAATTCAATTTCTGGAAAGGAGTATTAGGAAATTGGATTTCAACCCTGGCGGGATTTCCACAATTGTTCAAGTTAATGACTTGAAGAATTCTCCTGGACCTACTAAGAGAGAGCTTAGACAAGCTACCAATCAGGCACTTCAATTGCTCCAAGACAACTATCCTGAATTTGTAGCAAAACAGGTAATTTTTAGGTTTCATTATATTATATCTCTTCTTAATTTGTATAAATCCTCAGTGTTCCATAAAGCTTCTATCTTGTTGCTTGTGATTATTGGGTTATTGACTAGTTATTATATGGGTGCTTGTAGGTGTTCATAAATGTGCCTTGGTGGTATCTAGCAGTCAATAGAATGATTAGTCCATTTTTGACCCAGAGGACAAGAAGCAAATTTGTCTTTGCCGGTCCTTCTAAATCTGCAGAAACCCTTTTCAGGTATTGATACTAAAAACTGTGACCTTTCTCTTTTGCACAGATAGTGATTGAAAAATTAAAATACCTTTTTTTACCATTGTTTACAGGTACATTGCTGCAGAGCAAATACCAGTTAAATACGGAGGATTAAGTAAAGATGGGGAGTTTGGCACAGCTGATGCGGTTACCGAGATCATTTTGAAGCCAGCAGGCAAACATACAGTTGAATTCCCAGTTTCTGAGGTAGGATTTAATTTCTTTTGTCTTTTTTTTAATTTGCAAGCGTACAGAGTGAAGAATCCAAGGCAAGAAATTCTTAGAAAACATGTGGTTTCCTTGGATTCCCTTTTAGTTGAAAAGATTTTGGATGTTTTGATTGTTAAATGAATATAGAATAAGGAACTCAAGTACGGGTGCTACACATTATGAGTAGTCTGGATTCCAACCCAGACCCGGCCCGTATGTCTTCACAGCTCAGGTAGAAATTGTACAAATATTTAGTTGCAATTAAAATTTTTTATGGTATAACCAGGAGAAATTTAATCTCCTATGGCCGTAAAGATTTTTCGCCTTCCAACAAAAAACGTTTTTTAGATATCGAATTTGTATTCTCTGAACTATAGAGATTGAGTTTGCTTACTATCCTATTTTTTTTTTTTTTTTTTTTTTTTTTTTAGTTGCACATTAAATTTTTAATGGTCATAACCAGGAAATAATCTCCTATGGCCGTGTTTTATCGCCTTGCCAACCAAAAAACGTTTTTAGATATCCGAATTTGTATTCTCTGAAATAATTAGAGATTGAGTTTGCTTACTATCCTATTTCTTTTTTGTTTTTTTGTTTTTTTTTTTTGAAAAGCTATTCCATTTTTTTTTTTTTTTTTTTTTTTTTTTTGAAAGCTATTCCATGTATTAAGAACAAATAACTCGGGAAAGTAAATATTTGTGTATTAACAAGAAATGAGTATATAATGTGACAAAATTAGTAAACTAATTAGGAACCAACTTGCCTTTTTTCTTTAAAGAAAATCATTTCCCATTTTTCTTTTTATAGAAATTGGTGCGAAGTATCTATATTACTATATCGTCCTATCAATATACCTAATCTAATAAGATAACAATAATTACTTGACGTGCAGACATGTCTTCTAACGTGGGAAGTTCGAGTAGTAGGGTGGGATGTGAGTTATGAGGCAGAATTTGTACCAAGTGGTGAAGAAAGCTACACAGTTATAATTCAAAAAGCAAGAAAGGTTGCTGCAAATGAAGAACCAGTAGTATGCAACAGCTTTAAAATCGGCGAACCGGGTAAAGTTGTGCTCACCATTGACAATCCAACTTCTAAGAAGAAGAAGCTGCTCTATCGTTTGAAGACAAAGCTATCTTCTGATTAGATGAGCGTAATTTTTTGAGGTGAATATAAAGAAGAAAATCAAATTTGGTTAATGGTTGCTGGAAGGCTACAGAAAGAGCAAGTGGTGTTGATGTTGAGGATATTTGTTATTATATATTTATTTGTATAACTTTGAGGTTAATATTTAAGGATGTCGTTTTGTCATAATGAATTTGGTGTTTGGCTTTTTTGTGGGGTTGAATGTCGTTCATTTAGGGGGCAACAGAATGTGTGGGTGGGTAGGGGAAGGTAAGGTGATTCTTTGCAACTCCCATAAGAACTTTGTGGCTTCCTTTCTCTTTTCCTGTAATTAGGTATTTATTTTGGATATATAATATGTTTTTTAGTAAATTAATGAAAATATTATTTATTTATTTACTCTGGTCTTTTTTTTTTTTAATATTAGTTTGAGGAAAAAGAAAATCCATATGACCATGATTTAATAACTTTAAGAAATAAAATGGTAATTTAGATGGTAGGGAAAAAAAAAGATAGCAACAAAATATATTTTAATTAACCATAAAAATTAATGGAAATTCAAAATAAGACGTTTTAAAATTAATTTTTTTTTACACAGGAGGTTTAATTCCGTTTTAACATGAATTTAGTACATTATCCATTAAATAAAAAATTTATTCAAACATTTCTTATAGTTTTATTAATTTTTGCTACATTAATAAGAAAATGAAACCAACTAACCTTTTCAGTTAGTGGAGAAAATTTCAAATATTTAATGGTCTAATTTAATTTCAATATATATAAGTGACAAACTTAAAAATACAATTTATAAATTAAAATAGCCTAAAAATGAAATAAAATTGAATCGAATCAAATCAGTCCATCCTATTTGATTTACATTTTAAGAAAATAAAATATTTTTGATTTTGATGATTGACCGATTCAAACATGACAATGCATTAAGTGATGTGTTTTTTTTTTTTTTATTCGCAAAATCCCAATATGCAATTTGACTAAAGAAAAAGAAAAGCTTGATAATAAACTTATAGCCAAAATTTCTGGTGGTTGCCTAGTGCTTGTAATACTCTAATGGTAGGTGTGAAAAAGATCAACATATGAACACAACTTCCGGCTTCCAAGAAATAAATAATAATATATACTAATTATGGACCCATGTAATGCACTTTCATGTGCTAAACTGCTAATTGTCAATCAAATCATTGCTTCACCCAAACAAACATGCTTTATGCGCTAATTTCCATTTTTTAGACTCCTCTTTTGCACCTTTTTAGGCATGAACATAGGAGATGCTTTTTCTTCCAAAAGTAATGGATAAGTCATCATCCAAGGCATCACCTACTTAGTAAGATTGAGATTTTGATCCTCATATATGAATAAATACATATAATTACTCTTGCGAATAGAATTTAGTCTTAATTGAATGGATGAGATAGTGTGGTCAATATTAAAATTTAGTAATTTAAAACTAAATGTTTAATAATATTCAAAACTTTAAAGAAAAATAAGATGTGAATATCTATGCCTTATGCAATATACTTTTGATTCTTAAATTATTTTTATTTATCAAATTATCAAATGTAATTACTAATTAATCAACGTTAGTTATCAAGTAAGAGAATGGACTTCCAAACTATGCTATTAAGGGGTGAGCATTTGCTCAAATCAAATTGAAACCAATGCTTATCCCTAATTTTAATTCCTTTTCCTGACTTATTTCTCTCTCATAAGTTTCATTATGCCATAATTATATTTTAAAGAGTGCAATTAACAAATAGTATCCATGAATTATTATAACAACTATTAGTTGTAATGTAATATTATCAGCAACTGATTCAAACAAAGGTACCTCTTGCGGTTTTGGTATGATAGCAAGGGACTGTAGTGGCGCAATTTTAGCTTCGGGTTATAAACAAATATTTCATTGTTTCTTAGATTTCTTTCGCTAATAGATCATGCAATAAGAGATAGCTCATAGGTTAGCTTTATATGCTCTCTCTGCTGATATTGAGGAGCAATCGTAATATACCCACTTCAAGTTTTTAATGATATTCTCTTTTCAAAAACAACTAATTCAAACATTCTCCTAATCTAATTCTAAAATTTAGTAATGTTTTTATATCGCTAATGGTTTTTACTAATTCCTCCATGTCGTTAGTGGTTAAATAGTCGATGTGGAAAAGCAATTCATGTAAAGAGAAAGGAGCTCACGAATAAATAGTAAGGAAAAAAAAAGCTGTTGAGTTGTTTAGTTATTATGATAATTCTTCTATGTATATCATTGTTGAATCAAATTCTAGAAATGTCATCCGTTGGGTTTCACAAAAGAATAAGTGGTCATAGCAATAGTGGAATCGTCTTAATAAATTTGATTCGTTGCTATGTTCTTTGGTTCAAATTGATTTCAATTTTGTCAACAGAGATCGTAATCATTTTGCAGACTGTTTAGCTAAAAAGGGAATGGATACCGAAAAATATTTTTTAGCATGGCTTTAAAGTTTGGTTTTATTTATAAAATAGCATAGTTATGTATTTTTTTTTTTCCTTTTTTTTTCTTTCTTCTTTTTTCAAGAAGAAATCCGATGGATGTCTTTTCTGATTTTGTTTTGTTGATGAATTTTTACTAGGTTTTTTTACATAACTTATCCAAATTAGGTTTAGGTGTATTGGAGAGCCTATTGGCTCGGATTAGATTATTTGGATAAATTAAATTTTTCCTAGTATATTTTATTATAATAAATTAATTAATTTCGGTAATAAAAAAAAGTATCCAATGTGAAAGGCCTCTTATATATGCATATAGAAATTTAATGATTTAACTAAATTTTTGACACAAACTAGTGATGGGTAATTTAATTCACAAATCGAGTAAAAACTAAAATGGAACCGAATTAAATGAATTTGACTTGATTTGATTTATAATCAGGTTGAATGCTCAGCTCTACCCATTGATGTTGTTTCAATAATTTGTGTTCTATTATTGGTATAAATGAGTCAAATAAATTGAGAAAAGGTCATTCGTTTGGCCTGCCAAAGTAAAAAGGCAAAGGCAAAGGCAAAGGGAAAAGCATTGATGGATATAATGTTGTCGAGCTTAGAATTAGAAATGGCAAAGAATGAAGAAGCAACAAAAAAGAATTGTCGTATCATTACACTGTGCAGCCAGTCCAACTTCAGCCATAACGTGCAACTTTGCAAGCCATGCGATAGCCCAGTTGCTCCCCTTTTCTTACTTTTTTTATTTTTTATTTTTTAATATCATCAATTACACCTGGCAGAGGTTTTATTTCTCTAACAGCTGTTACACATATACTGGTTACGAGCATCAAAATCCGGCAGCTCTTCCAGGTAACTCATCGGTTTACCCTGAGACGCAGGCTACACCGCTCAAAAAATATTCAAGATTCAATTTTTATTATATAATCGCGATTTAAATTTTTTTATATATAATATTCTCTTAATTTTTTTATAATATAAAATTATAAACTTGTTATATTACTAAAAGTTAATATTAGTTTCTTTAACTATACCGTTAAAGTAAATCTTTCATGTTTATCATAAAAGCTTGATTTTCACCGTTTTTTTATTTTATAAAAAATATTGGACTTCCTAAATGAGTTTAAATTGATATACTAGTAAATTACTAGAGTATTTTTATTTTTCCCAATTGAATTTTTTAATATTAAAATTCTTAATTTAATTTAAATATTTCTAATTGAATCAAAATATTTGTAATTTAGTTTATCTGCTTTTCCCGTTCACTACTCCCATTATGACACGGGATGTACAGTGGGAGATCCCGACAATGAGCCGTTTTAGGCCGGCTTTGATAGAGCGGCATGTCAAGGAGGGTCACTTGATCCTGAGTATGTTCAACGAGCTGTCTATAGCTTAGGTGAGTTCCCAATGACTTGGAGATCGTCATTTGTGTTGAAGTCTGATTCTAATACCAAGAGATATCGTTCATTTTTACAGGTAAGGATTCGTATATTCCAACACTTCCTAGATTCTCCCCTGGAGGCGAATCTACTTCGAGCCTGGGAGATGATGAACTCCCGAGTGCTTCTGAGATGTGGGGTGATCCGGTGCTATTACCTGGGCAAACGGGTTTATCACCAGGTGATGGGCCTGTATCAGATACCGGCTAACCCTCCAGTGGATTTGTTGGATGGCATCGGCATAGTCAATCAGGCTGAGAAGGTTGTGGGGATCGTATTGACACCTTCCTCCTTCCAGGGGAGACCGACACTGATTGGGTTGCCTTTACTCTGGCTACTAGGGTGGAGCCTCCCCCAGACAAGTCCTCGGGCACTGAGACCAGGACACCTTCTCGTGGATAGAGTAGCGGGGTTGAGCCAGAGGAGGAGTTCGATTTTGAGATAGACCCTGATGTGATGTTTAATGTAGTAGAGGGCATGGGGGCTAGATTTGGTCCCACTAGTCATCCCTTGGCCTCAACGAGGACCTCTGCAGCAGCCGGGACTTCATCTTCGGGTCATATCTCTCCTTCTAAGGCCTCTCAGTTCCGCCGGCTTCCCTCTCATCTTCGGTCGGAGTCTCAGAGGAGAGTGCCCTACTTTGACCTAGGGAGGACGACTCACTATAATGTGCCGAGGATCCTTCCCGATGATTGGCCGGAGTATCCTATTGATGAGCCAGTGAGTCTCTTCTCTCTTATCTCCTTGACTTCTCGTTTCTTGTTGATTCTCAGTGTTTGTTACTAACTCTTTTTTGCTTTTCCACAACCGACCCTTGAGTGGGCTTAGGAGATCTTTATCGCCATACGACACCTCCAGACGAACCTTTTTGACGCCCTTACTTGGGAGAGCATTGTCAATGCGAAGCTGGCGGAATCAAGGGAGGGGCGACCGAAGAAGTGCAAGCATTAGGGTTGCCTTTTAGTTTAGCATAGTTTTGTTGACTTTGATAGCTGTATTAGTACATTTTGGGTTGGTGCTGCCTTAGTTTAGGCACTGAACACATTTACTGTAGGATCTGTATCCTTTTTATGTTTATGGGACTCTCTGTTCACCCTTGCATGTATGCTTTGCTTCCTTTATTTGTCTGCACTGGATGCTTGACTTTCTGATTTTGCACTGATCATGTTTTACACAGAATTTGCACTAAATGTTGTGCTGGTTGCATGATTTAAAACTGTACTGAATTGCACTGGAGGTTACAGTGACTGCCTGTTTTGAATTTTTGCATTGAATTGCACTAATTTTTGTACTGAATGCCTGTTTTGAGTTTTCCACTGATTGCCTGATTTGAACAATTGCACTATCTGACTGCATTGCAAATTGCACTAAATTGCATTAAGAGTTTGCATTGATTGCCTATTCGCACTGACTGCTTGACTTGAGCAATTGCACTGA